TCTGCGCAGTCAAATGCTCCTGCTAGTTGTTAAATTCAGAATCTGGATTAGTTCAGAAAAATGATTCCTAGTGGCTTAGCCACTACCATTTTCAGATGTGAATGGCACCTGAAAGAGAAATCATTGGCATTTTAAGTCTTCTCAGTTCCCAGCAACTGTCCTCATTTCATACTGGCAAGGATGGTCCCATGTGACTAGGGTTTCTGGGTGTTTATTACTCCTAAAAATAACCCCAAACAAGACTTAACAGTAGCCTTAAATAGTGTGTCTATAAGTATCCTTCTTATTAGTCGCCTCCCAAATAAAAGTGTCACCTTTTCAACAGACTGCTTCTGACTTCTTCCCTGGATAAAGTCTTTAATCATGTTAATAGTGCAGAGCCAGGAATGTTGTGTGATATGCTTACTTTAGTTCATTTTGTTAACAGTTAACTGTGTTAACGATTGTTTATTTAAGTTTTTGAATAGCTGCTTTGATGGTACCAGTTTATTTCAGTTGCATGGTAGCCAAAATTATGATCTGTTTTATGTTTTCTGTTTCTGGCAATCACTCTTACGATGTAGAGGGGCAGAACAATTAGTTTGTATTTTAGACCCCAAGCACACTTTGTATGAAGGGAAGACTGTGGAGTTTCTTGGAGTAAACTGCTAAGATTTTATGTTCACGTCTTTTAAAGAATGTGGTCAGCAGCAGCTTTCATGAAAATTCTGAATATCAGAATTAGATGTCTCTGGGTGTTGTGTGTGATGCTCTCTAAGAATGCTGCTTGCAGACAGGTGTGGTTTGCATCAGCATCTTTCCCATGTTAAAGTAAGTCAGTCTTTTTTGCGTCCCTCCATCATGTCAGTTGTTTGCAAACCATGTCACATGGTTTGCTACTGTGAAATTAATAATGAACATCTCCTTCTTCTGGTTTGTCCAAGGCAAATTTTAAACCGAATACTAAAAACTGGACTGGTGTTCCAATCCGATAAAAAATGTCCATGCATCTTTTTTGTGTCTTTTTAATGAAGTCCTGTAGTTCATACAATTCATTCAAAGTGAAAAAGAAAGTTGCTTTCCCATTGACTGTTAGGTTGAGGGGAAAAAAAAATTGGTTGAGATTGCAGACTCAGAAACGTGACCTGTTACTGCAGGGAGAGGTTTAAACAGCTTCTAACTACCACAGTCTGGTGTAGAGCATAATAAGAGTTAAAGCCTAGTAGCTCTTACTTTGCAGCTGCTATGAAGAAACTTTGCCTCAAGAGCTTATATACTGAAAGGAAGATACTTTTTGTGAGATGGAGGTTTCATATTTGGTTTCAGTTCACAGACTAATTTACCATTAATTTTAATTTTTGTTACACTTTGAAAGGAACGTATTTGTTAGCAATTTGGTGTATCTCTTCAGAGAGAAAGCTCAAATAATTTTGCATGCAGTCAACTACAGTAAAGGTGCTGCTTCTTCAAGTTTTAAGGGTACTCGTGAAAAAGAGGAGGTAAAAACTTTTTGGTTATGATAAGTAGTTGATTCAGCTATTAAGTTTTTTGGTAGGGAATGTATCTAAATGCAGTTATTTAAGAAGGTTCACTTTTAATTGAGCAAGGCTCATTGCAGTAGAGGTTGGACTAGATAACCTTTAGAAGTCCCTTCCAACTCAAACTATTCTGTGATTCTGTAAATCTGTGTAAAGGCTTTTATGTTAGAAAACTCCTATTAACACTTTAATGTGAAAATGCCTTTAGATGTGGCATAGCATAAATATAATTGGTGAAAGTGAAATAGGTGATTGTGGCATGTTTTGTTAAACTTCATTTGGTCTAACTGAAAGATTCAAATATGCTTAATAAACTGCATGCTTCTTCTGAGTAGCCACTTGTAAACTGAATCTGTGTTCTGAAAGTCAAAAGCAGTATTCTTTTGCATTGCTATTACTCTAGATATCATAGGGCCACGAGGGTTTGATTTTTGAAAGTGTGCTTTCCATGAGTCTTGCAACACAAGTGGTGATTTGGCTGTTTTTCATTTGTTCTGTTTTTTGTCCTGGTGAGGGGGAATGTCTCTGTGTGTGTGTCCCTGGCCACTCTTCTGATCCCTTCCTTACATATATTTAACAGTTTGAGTCTACGCTGTTATTTTTTGTTAAATACCTAGAAGAGTTTTATGGAGATTGAAATGCTTGAGTGTGGTAAGAGATAGTTAAGTAAGATAATAGAGTGGATTTGGGGAACCAACAAATAGAGATTAAACAGTATTAAGGGCAAGTTTAGGGATCTTGGATGTGAATTGGAGACTGGGTCAGTGCATGTAATCTTCTTGAACAGGATTTTGTACCAAGTCCAAACTAGAAGTTATATATTCTGCTCAGTCAGGTAGGAAGAAAAGAAACTGAGAAAATAGAGGGAACTGAAAAGTTTCCTGAAATACAGATTTTTATTTTGAATAGTTATAAATATTTTATGTCATCAGTTTCTCTTCATACCCTCTCCCTATGCTTGGTGAGATGAAGTTTAAAAAAACAAAACAAAAATGCCACAACAACAACAAAACACCCTAAAACCAAACCACAAAAAAATCTTCCTCTGGACTATTACAAAGGTATCCTGGACAGTATTGCAGTTTGTCTTTATAGTGATTTGTGAATGGACATGCTCCTTGAAAGCGAGATTCACATCAATAAGATCAATGAATAATGTCTGTCATTCCAGGTTTCAAAAAAACTTGATAAAGTGAAGCTGTAATTTTCAGAGTCCAAATGGAGTTGACTTTGTCCTGGGAACATGGGGCTCAAGTTGTCTCTCATAGAAGCATATGCTGTTCTCATCTGATTCTTAAAATGACTCCTGCATGGTTTCTAACTAAATGGGTATACAGGAGGTTTTTTTTTTTATCTTCTTACTACCTCAGAGTTTTTTCAAAACAAAACTTAGCAAAGTGAGAAAATTAGGCATTTGTGGTTTGTTCCAGACATAAAACATATAAGCATAGTTTGCCAGCCAAGGAGTCATTGTATTCTTCTGGCTGCCGAGAGGCCTGCTCTCAGTCTTTCAGGTCTAGTGAGCTACGCAGTTTAGATATTTAATAGCAGCTGGGGGGGTTCCTACCAGCCTTCTATATATTATTTTTGGTCAGGTTTTTTTCCCTATAAAGTTGGAAGCAACGTGTGTTAAGTAGACATCCCTTACAAATTGCTAAATCTTCAGAAAATGAATGTTAGCAGGTCTACAGCAATCGTGTACATTATGTCCCTCGTAGAAGGTGAAGCATTTTCATTCATCTGGTGATTGTATCTGAGCTGTTACCACTGTGACCTTGGACCTGCACATAGCGTCATTACAGCAGGTTTTCTCAGGAATAATGGCCTGCAGTGTTGGAATCACCTCTTTTTTTCCCCTCCTTTGGGTGTAGCTTGTGGTTTATGGCAATCATGTGTGTGCACAGAGGTTAATGACCGGCAGGCGCTGACTCAGCAGTTGTCTTGAGCAGCGTGTGCTTTGGTGAATGCCAGCAGCTTTGTAAGAAGAAATGGCTGAGAGGGTTTGAGCAGCTCCTGGTGAAAAATGTTACTATGTAGAATCACAGAATGGTTCGGTAGGAAGGGACCTCTGGAGATCACCTAGTCCAACCCCCCTGCTAAAGCAGGTGCACCCAGAGCAGGTTGCACAGGATCATGTCTAGGTGGGTTTTGAATATCCCCAGAGAAGGAGACTCTACAACCTCTCTGGGCAGCCTATTTGAGTCCTCTGTCACCCTCAAAAAAGTTTTTCCTCATATGCAGATGGACCTTCCTGTGTTTCAGTTTGTGCCTATTGCCCTTTGCGCCTATTTGCCCTGTTGCTGAGCACTGAAAAGAGTCTGGCCCCATCCTCTTGACACCCCCCTTAAGATATTTGTATGCATTGATAAGATCTACCCTCAGGTGTCTCTTCTCCAGGCTACACAGGCCTGGCTCTCTCAGCCTTTGCTCATAAGAGAGATGCTCTGATCCCCTCATCACCTTCATAGTCCTCCACCAGACCCTCTCCAGTAGTTCCTTGTCTTTCTTGGACTGGTGAGCCCAGAACTGGACTCAACAGTCCAGATGTGGCCTCATCAGGGCAGAGCAGAGGGAGAGGATCACCTCCCTGGACCTGCTGACCACATGAGAAAAACATTGTGGAGGAGCCACTTGTTACATGGGAGAGGAGTCCAGGGGAAGGACACTCACCTGGGGACCCCCGGCATCTCTCTTTCTGTCTGGCTGCAAGGTAGAGCTCTTTTTTCCTCTCCTTCCTTTCATTTTTATTTCTTTCTCCAAAGAACTTTCACCACTGGAGATTTTAGTTACTATATCCACTAATAAATCTTTGCACATGTGAACCTGTCTCAACATCCTTTGTCTAACTACCTGTTTCTCTTGAAGACTTGCAGATTTGCAGCATCCCACCCCCCCAGTCTGTTTTTTTCCTTAATTGCATATTTGCTCATTAAATAATTCAGGTGAGGTTACAACCAAGATGCATGAAACTGTTATATAGAGGGCTATTTCTATAAATGAAGGCTGAAGGGATAATAATGACTCTGTACTCCTCTGCTTTGCTATTTTTAGTAACAGTTCAGGCTGCTGTGTTGTAAGAGAGACTTGGATTAAGTTTAGTAGCAGTGTGCCAACAGCTGATTATCTGTTTGTTTGTTGTTCTTTTCTGTAGTGGGGTTTTTTTTTTGTGTTTACACTGAACAAGATACTTGTAGTTTTTAGTTAAGACTAGAATATCTTTTAGTTCCATTCCAGAGTTGAATAGCATTGAGGTGAAAACTGAAATGACAACACGGTTTGGTTTTACGAGTTATGGATTGTTGACTATATTATATGATCTTGTGCTACTGCAAGCCAAGTGTAATTCAGATGTGAACTGCATGCATCACCAAATACTCAAGGTCTGATAATCATTGTTGGATTATTCCTCTTTGTTACTTTTTTCTATTATTAAATGGTCTGGTTTGCCTCAGAAAATAAATGTTTCCTTACAATTCCTTGCAGATTCCTGCTTCAGTGTCTTGAGGATCTTGATGCTAATCTACGGAAACTGAATTCACGTTTGTTTGTTATTCGTGGGCAGCCAGCAGATGTTTTTCCCAGACTGTTTAAGGTAAATGCCTCTTGCAGTTGTTGTTTCTGTCCACAAATATGACTGACAAACTGATTTCAACTAGGAATATTTCTTGCACTATTTACTTCAGTGCAAGTTATCCATACAAATACTTAACTGTCCTTGCAGTTTCTCATTAAGGTTGTTTCTGTTTGTTTTGAATTTTTCCCCTTTACTGTACATATCACCAACTGAACTGAGTTGCTCTTAGACTTTACTGGTTTTTGCTTTCTTTCTTTCCAGAAATGGAATTGATTTCAAATGGCTTGCTGAGTGTAGGTACTGAATATTACTACATTTTCCTTTTCAGGTTCCCTTTGTAATACTGAAATATAATTCTGTGCACATGAATCCAGGTTCAAAGCCTGACCTGTAAAAGCAATGTTTTATTTAGGCCAAATATCTAATGTGATTACTTTTTCATTAAAGGTGATTTAATAAACCTTTTCCTAGTAGTAGGCTTGTTAAAAGCATAGAGCAACTAAAAAGCAATTTCTAGTCAAAGAAGTTTAAAGTTTTTGTGGGAAAGAGTCTTATTATTGAGAAAATTAAATCTGTGAGGGTTTGTTACTGATACTAACATGTCATCCATGGATAATAATGTATTTAAGGTAATAATACTGTAATAGGATAGTAAAAATGAACACTTTGCAGATTGATTTGAACTGAGGTGACTGAAAGAAGTGAGACTGTGGGGAAAAATTAGATATCCATTTTTCCAAAGAGATCATATTTTCAAGATTTTTATTCCCAGGTCTTCAACACCAAGCTGAAAACTCCACCAAAACTCACATTTCCATCTTTATTCTTGTGCTTTAGTCCCTGGGAAATGCTAACTGGCTGATACTCCTACTGGTGTTTCCTTGATTTCTCCTGAGTGAAGAATTTCCTGCCAGTAGTATTGTGGCATTAGTTGCTGCTTGCAACCCCTGAGATACTCAAGCTTGTTAGATTTGTCTGCCAAACTTACTTTGATTGCATTTAAATAGGGGCAAAGATCTTGCTGTTGTTAGGTTGCCATCTGGGTTTGAGCAACATATGAAAAAATTTCTTAAATACTTCAGTGGCTACTTGGACAACTCCTATTTCAGATCTTGCTACTAGCCTGATCTTTCTATGCCTAACAGCATTGGATTGCCATATTTTCAGAATATTAATTTTAATGCTAAGAAGATAATGAAAATAACTTATTATATAGATAGCATACAGCAATCAAAAAAGAACATTGACATCTGTCTATGTCTTCTGGTTTCTCAAATTACCAAAAAGTGTCTTTATCATGTATTGGTTCACTGAGGGGAAACCAGGACATTAGGACATCCTCTGACCTCAAATAAGTTATTGAAGCTCTTGAGGACTTCTTCACTTCTGGCCGAAGCCTACCTGGAATATGCATCTACCTAATGTAATTAATCTCCCAGGTTCTTTTGCCAGAGCAGTGGCTTTACATCAGGCATGTGCAGTGCAGTGAAGGGCTTATAATACTGAACCAAGGTTTTTAGATCATCCTCATTAAATGTCTCAAACGAGAGCAGCGATTCTGATCCTGAAGAATGAACACATGTGGACAAGATGAGTTCAGTTAAGTTTGGCTGGGAAAAGATAGCTTTAGTTAAGTCATGGTAGGAGACAGTGGAATTTCTGTAGAGCCTCGTGTCAGGGGTCTTATCACAGATGCCTGCATATGTGGATTCCCTGGGAATGAATGTATCACAGCCATGTTTTGGTAAGGGTTTCCTTTTCACAGGCTGAAGGACAATTCCTTCAATGGGCAGAGATCTGATCTATCTTCATCCTTACAAAAGGCCTCAAACACCTTAAGGCTCTTTCATGCCAGGCAAGTTTTGGTTGGTTCACAGAATCACAGAATATGCCGAGTCGGAAGGGACCCAGAAGGATCATCGAGTCCAACTCCTGGCCTTGCACAGGACCATCCCCAAGAGTCACACCATGTGCCTGAGAGTATCATCCAAATGTTCCTTGAGCTCTGTCAGGCCTGGTGCTCTGACCACTTCCCTGGGGAGCCTGTTCCAGTGCCCAACCACCCTCTGGATGAAGAACCCTTTTCTGATATCCAACCTAAACCTCCCCTGACACAACTTCATGCCATTCCCTTGTGTCCTCTCACAAGGAAATTGTAGACTGTGCTGAGGTCTCCCCTCAGTCTCCTTTTCTTCAGGCTGAACAGACCAAGTGCCCTCAGCCACTCCTCATACAGCTTCACCTCAAGGCCCTTCACCATCTTCATTGCCTTCCTTTGGACACTCTCTATCAGCTTAATATCTTTCTTATATTGTGGTGCCCAAAACTGCACACAATATTCGAGGTGAGGCCACACCAGTGCAGAGCAGAGCGGGACAATCCCCTCTCTCAACCAGCTGGCGATGCTTTGCCTGATGCCCCCCAGGACACAGCTGGCCCTCCTGGCTGCCAGGGCACTGCTGACTCATGTTCAACTTGCCATTGAACAGATTTTTGCGATGACATCAGCAGCTCTTTGAGGATTCTAGGATGAATCCCTTCAGACCCTATAGATTTGTAGGGATCCAGCTGGAACATCAGACCCCTCACAATTTCAGGGTTGATTGGGAGTTAATCATTCTCACACTCATGTCCTCCAGCTCAGGGCACTGAGACTCCCTTGGTCCATCATCTGTGTTGAAGACAAAGGCAAAGGAAGGGTTAAACACCTCTGACTTGTCTCTGTCCCTGTTTGTGAGGTGACCATCCTCATGCTGTAAGGGGCCAATGATATTTCTATATTGCCTATTGCCATTCATATATTTGAAAAATCTCTTTTTATTGTCCCCCACATTCTGGCCAACTTCAACTCCAGCTTAGCTTTGGCCTCACGGATTTTCTCCCTGCAGTGGCAAGCAGCTGAATTCTTCTCATGTCACTTGACCTTGCTTCCACTGGGCATACACCTTCCTTTTTTGCCTTATTTCCAAGAGAAGATCCCTGCTCAGCCAAGCTGGCCTTCTGCCTCGCCTGCTTGACTTCGAACATTTGGGAATTGCCTGTTCCTGTGCCCTTAGGAGCTGATGTTTGAAAAGTGACCGGCACTGATGGACCCCAGCACCTATAAAAACACTTTCCCAGGAGGTCTTACTTACTAATTCCCTGAGCAGCCTGAAGTCTGCTCTCCTCATGTCCAGAGTTGAGGTTTTGCTAGCACTTTTCCTTCTGTCAACAGAGATTTTAATCACCTTGTGGTCGCTGTGGCCAAGACAGCCACCAATCTCCACTTTGCTCTTGCCTCATTCTCTTCAGTTTGTTCTGGGCTGCTCTCTGGCTCAGTAAAGGAAATAGAATTGGAATAATCACTAATATTTTGAACACATCAAGTTGCTAAAAGCATCCGCCAGTATGTGCAAAATTATTTGTGTCTATACTACTAATTGTCTAGCTTGTGGTGATGTGATCCGGGTATATTCACATTACGTAGCACTTGTCTCGGAGTTCCTTGACTCCTTTCAGGACATGACTCTGGCTCTTGGACACATTTTTTATGGTCGTCTTTTCAATATGCCAGAGGAAAGAAAGATGTAGAAGACTGTCTGCTGCAACAGTGGTTTTACATTATGAAATGGGAAATTTGCTTGAGGATTCAAGGCCTGCTGGGTTAGTCTTGGCAGACTTAAGGCTGGACAGAGCCCAGCCTTCTTTCAAAGAACCAGCACTCCTTGGAATTGCCTGTCCTTGGGGCTGGGCTTCATCTAAGAGAGAGCTAGAGTTTGGAAATGAAATAGCACCCCAGGTGAGCAGCGCTGAGTGCCCTTGTCTCATTAGTGTAAATCCAATTCTCTGAAATACTCTGGCTTGTGTATTTAAATCAAGTGATTAAGATTCTGAGGGATTAGAAGGTTATTTCTTTGAGTTTGATTAGCATGATGCCTTTCTAGGATCATTCTGTGCATACTTCAGCTTTCCAATTTTCTACTGTTGCAGAAGCTTTAGCCATTAGTTGATCCCTTTGTTCACTTCTTTTTTCCCCACCTGTGACTATTGGGCTTAGTAAAAGCATCTGTGACATAAAGGATATTAGACTTCAAGGCATAAGGCACTATCTTTTTAGGAGACAGCCTTTTTTTTTCTTTTTCTAATTGAGAATTTGAAGACTGTCTGAGTGAGGAGTAGGGATTTCAAAAAGGTAAAGTAAGTACGTGGTGTTTGGTTCGAAGGCAGGGCAGTATTTCTGCCCTCTGCCCCTGAAACTTCAGTTCTGCTGTTGAAGTTGACGGGCACATGTAAAAAGCTTTTCTGCAGAGCAAGACACTGCTGCTGATCAATGTTCAGAAGGTGTCATCTTTCCCTTCTGTTGTGTCTCAAGGTATATGGATCCTAAAGTTAGAGATGAATTTTCAAAATTTGCACAGAAGTAGTCCTGTTACTGTGTGCACCCACAGTAATAGAACAGATGGAAGCTTTTTTATGCCCGATTCCTACTTACATGCCAAAAAGCTGGACTTTGGTTTTGCTATTCTGGGTGTCTGAATGTATTTTGGACCTTTCTGTATCTCTGATAACTACCTGCAGATAGTAGCTGGTGTTCCATTCTGCCCCTGTCCTTCCAGTTCTCCTTCCCCTCACCCTCTGTCATGCAGCTGAGTTGCTGAAGGACCACATTTTTGGTTTGTGTTGTAGGAGTGGAACATTGCAAAACTTTCAATTGAGTATGATTCTGAACCATTTGGGAAGGAAAGAGATGCAGCTATTAAAAAGCTGGCTAGTGAAGCTGGAGTGGAGGTCATTGTTCGGATTTCCCATACATTATATGACCTAGACAAGTAAGTTACCATTACCTCTGGTTTTAAAAAGGAAAAAGAAAAACTTGAAGTTTTATGTAGTATTTGTTTAGGTATTGTGTGCTACTTTCTACTCAGAGCACTTTATAATTAGGGAAACTACAAATTTGGTTTATGTTTCTTTTCGTCCATCCAAATTTTATTATATACTGAGTAGAATTTGGAACTCCAAAGAATTATATGTAACTGTATCTGAAATGCAGTTTTAATTTGGAGTTCTTTTGAATATAATGTTTATGTTAATTAATTGTCTTTTAATATTTCTTTTATTATTGGTCTTTTATTTCTTTACCTTGAACTGTCCCTGTTCATTACTTTCTCATTCATGAGGAATGAAGAAAATTGAATTGCTTATAAACAGTTAATTTATGTCTCCCTAGAGGGGAAAAAAAGATGGTAAAATTAAAGTTCAAAGTGTCTGGATTACCATGTGTATCTGTGATTTTTATATAGCATGCTAGAGGAAGATAAAAAGATATTTCTCTGTATGTATCGCTGCGTATATTTTATAAAACAAAATGTTTAAATACTATTATCTGACACACCCTCTTTGCTTCTTTTCTTTTTCTTTAATCCAGAATAATAGAGTTAAATGGAGGGCAGCCTCCTCTTACTTACAAGCGATTTCAGACCCTCATTAGTCGAATGGAACCTCTGGAGATGCCTGTGGAGACCATAACCCCAGAAGTGATGAAAAAATGTACTACTCCAGTTTCTGATGACCATGATGAGAAATACGGTGTGCCATCGCTTGAAGAGCTGGGTATGTTCTAGGATTGCTTTGACATTATGAAATAAGAGAGATGTAATCTACCACTTAAAATAACAATGAGGGAGATCCTACTTGTGGTTAATTGTTATACCGATACAGTTACGACGTACAAAAGGAACAAAAAAGGATAATCAACTCCATAAATTAAAGTAAAATAGTTGTAATTTTGGTTACCCTGCATATTGCAAAGCTGAGAGCTTGAAAATAATTCAGAAAATGATAGAAAGGTCACCTTTTACCAAAAGAAAAAAAAAAAAACAGAACACAAAAAAACCACACAGAAGAAGTGGGATTGAAGTAAGACCATTCAGCATGTAAAATTTGTAATGTATATTAATGTAAGTGTAAAAGTAAAAATTTAATTTTGCTGCAAGTTAGAGGTATTGGATGTGCTTTGAGAAGATTTGGTGACATGCTGTTTTAAAACTTGTACTTTTACGTGTGTCCAACTTAGGGTTTTTCTCAAGATGCAGTAAAATAGTCAGGTATCAATATGCTAGAATTTTGTTGCCCTACAGGATAAGCAAACAAGGAATTTCTTTGTTTCAATTTGTCTTTCAGGATTTGATACAGATGGTCTGCCTTCTGCAGTATGGCCAGGGGGAGAAACAGAAGCTCTCACTCGATTGGAAAGGCATCTAGAACGAAAGGTGTGCTTCAGATCATTGCGAGTTCCAAGTATCTGGGAAACATAGTTACTCTTTGCTATGAAATGTAAAGGGATTTGGACAAGTCCTGTTAAAAAAAATCTAACCCACAAACTTCAGGCCTCAATATAATGATATAAATCAATATTTTGTTTCTTAGTTTTAGAAGATGATAGCAGGTTGTCTTTGAATTTTAGAGAAAGTCTGTTTTACTGTTTTATACTAAAAAGAATTTTTTTTGAGGTAATTTTATTTGAAACATACTACTTATAATTTTGAAGGGGAATTCCTCTGAAAGCTAGGTTGGCTAGGTTTCCAATGTATTTAAAAGAAAGGGTCAGACAGGTCTGGAAGACAGTTTGTGCCTTCTGCATTAAGATGAATTACCTTCCAGAGGTTCCACTGATTCAGAAGGAACCCCTGGATGTTGTAGGTAACATGATAATCTGTGCACTCTTTGGATTCGGTTATAGACAGTGTATGATTTCTCCCTTTATAAGTTGCTACATAGCCTGTAGTCTGATATTGCTGTGTGGCTTTTGTCTTCTTAAGGCTTGGGTAGCAAACTTTGAAAGACCACGAATGAATGCAAATTCCCTTCTGGCAAGTCCTACAGGGCTTAGTCCCTACCTCCGCTTTGGCTGCTTGTCCTGTCGTCTGTTTTATTTCAAGTTAACGGACCTGTACAAAAAGGTAGGATTTCTGTGTAGTCAGCTGCATATATTCTTAGGTGCCATAATTTTCCTCTACTTCTCCTAATGAAATGTTTTTCTTTAATGATGATCTTCAGGTAAAAAAGAACAGCTCCCCTCCCCTCTCCCTCTATGGCCAGCTGTTATGGCGTGAGTTTTTCTACACAGCGGCGACTAACAATCCACGGTTTGATAAAATGGAGGGGAATCCTATCTGTGTTCAAATTCCATGGGATAAGAATCCTGAGGCTTTGGCCAAATGGGCGGAAGGCAGGACAGGTTTTCCGTGGATTGATGCAATTATGACACAGCTTCGTCAAGAAGGTTGGATCCACCATTTAGCCCGGCATGCTGTAGCATGCTTTTTGACTCGAGGTGACCTCTGGATTAGCTGGGAAGAAGGAATGAAGGTATTTCCTATTCTTGAATATCTTAAAGTGCCTATTAGAGTTTCTGATTGTCATTCTAGAATTGTTGTTACTACACCGTGTAAGTTGAAATTTAAACCTTAAGCTGTGGGCAAAACGAAATCAGTTCTGTTAAACCAGTCATGCTGAAATTTTGCCTCTCGAATGCCTCCTTTTATTGGAATATTAAAGTGTTTCTTGCAGTCATAATAGGTCTGAAATTCTTTTAAATTTGAGATTTCCTCCTAAATCTTGGCAAATAAACATGGATTACTATTGAGATTTTTTCCAATCATTTTGTGTGAACAATTGCTGTTCACATCTTGCGTCTGCTTCCCTGCAAAGGGAAAGCACTATGAGAATTAAAGGGAGAAAACTAAAAGCTGAGAATGGGCAAAAGGATAGAAATTGCTGAAAGGACAGTGTTAGAAGTGTGAGTAAGGGCAACATGATTTGGCTGAAGGTTCAGTGCAATTAATTCTATACAAGTATCTAAGAGATGCTGAAGTTCAAATATAAAATGTCAGTCTTCTGAAGAAAACAACGGAATGATTTAATCTCAGCCTTTGAATCAGTGTTACATTTTCAGAAAGGTAGCACATCTTTTACTGAACAATCATAATCAATGAAAATCTGATGATCAAACAATTGGGTTTTTAACCTAAAAAAGAACTTACTTGCCATCGGGATTTTGACCTCATATTTATATATGTATATACTCTTAGGAAATTCTGTCTTCCTTAAATCAGTTGTAAGCAAACATCATTCATTTAAAAATAAATTGGTTACACAACAAAAGAAGCTGCTTTAGGAATCTTCCTTTTGCAGTTCCTAGATAGAGACATCAAAGATGTCTTTTGCATCAGCCAACAACAAAGCTGCATAATACAGAAAAATGACAGCTTGTTCCTCCTTTTGCAATAATACAGATATACGGAGGGCCCAGACTTGTACAGTGGTCCATAGCTTGCAAAACTTAATCTGGCCTTCCACGTGATGTTATTTCCAGAGTCTTATTACATGGCAGCATCTAGTGGAACAACTGTGTGCTAACACTTAATGCCTGAAGATCTTGTTGCATTATGAGTCACTTTCTATTTAAAATGTTTTTTGAAAATGTTTTTAAGATAAATCTTATTTTTTCAAAACAAACTGTTTTGTCCAAATAGTTGCAGATATTTAGACAAAGATACTTTTGTAACACTTATTCAGTGTATACTGTGGAATGAATGTCTTATTGAATATATGGAGAGAGATTATTGTTTAATGGTATTGTCTTATTTAGACTTTGCATAGGATTAATATTAGTGGAAGTTGGATGGCAGTAGTAAGATGTTGAGGCATGAAGAAAGATGATGGTTTCTTTGGAATTTAAGAATGCATCCTCAAAACTGTGACTTACTAGATTAACTATTGACCTTCAAGAACACAACTTCTGAATGTTTGCGGTATCCTGAAACTCTTGAGTCCTACTCTTGGGATTCCTCACATAGTGAAAGCATGCAAGTTGAGGTATTCAGACCAACAATTTAAATTTGTACTTTGTACCTTCCCTGTTTTCTGGGAAAGTTTGCAAAGCTTACTCAATTGTGATGTGATGAAGCAACTCTTCTGAAAATAGCAAATGCCACTTGCAAGCAGTCAGGCTCCAGCCATCCTCTGGGGATTTATTTTTCAAGGCTGTGTTTGTATAAGAATGTGTAGCTTTTTCAGATGTTTACAAGTTTGCTTACAGGTTAAAAGCCTATTCTTGAATTATTTTTTTTCTTTTCTTCTTGAGTTTAGCATTTAGGTAAGTATTTGCAATTGCATACTGAGCATTCTGTTTATATTGCCAGGTAAGAAAGAGCTGAAATCAGAAACTCAGGAAAAAATAGTGAAAAAGTATTTTGAAAATAATGAAAAGGTGTCTTGAAGGTGTGTCATGTTCAGACTAACTTGTTGCTCTAATTTCTTAAGGTGTTTGAAGAGCTGTTACTTGATGCAGATTGGAGTGTGAATGCTGGAAGCTGGATGTGGCTATCCTGCAGTTCCTTCTTTCAGCAGTTTTTTCACTGCTACTGTCCAGTAGGTTTTGGCAGAAGAACAGACCCAAATGGGGATTATATCAGGTAACTCACAATCCAGAAATGGCAGTAATTGATTCATGGATGTTACTTATAATGTCAAGTAGCTTTATACTTAACGTGACCTTTTTATTATTTTTTAAGACGTTATTTGCCAGTACTTAGAGGTTTCCCTGCAAAATACATCTATGATCCTTGGAATGCCCCAGAGAGCATCCAGAAGGCTGCAAAATGTATCATAGGAGTTAATTATCCCAAACCAATGGTAAACCATGCAGAGGCAAGCCGTCTGAATATTGAGAGGATGAAACAAATCTACCAGCAGCTTTCACGATACAGAGGACTGGGTATGGTTATAGACTATTAGCTTTATTTGAAAATTTCTATCATCTTCTAGCAATTAATAATTTAGTCCCATGACAGTGGTAATAAGGTGTAAAGTCAGAGTGGTGACCAGGGTTGTGTATCCAAATAAATGAAAATATTATGTGTAATCAAGAAAGAAAAGAAGTTTGAGGGGAGTGCCTCTTTCCAAATATTACCCTGATTTTTTTTCTGTGGGTTTTTGGAAGTATTTTGGTTAAACTGGGTCTTCTGTGCATTCTGATACTCTTGTATAGATAGGTTTTAATATCAGTGATTAGAAATTTAATGTAGTTCATAACTTCAGCCATACTGTATTTGCATTTGCAAATGCTGTTGCTTGAATAGGTATCAATGCATCCCCTGGTATCATTCTTCCCCTTTGCTCTGAGAGGTAAACATGTGCATTTGTACTGCTCAGAGCAAGATGTGAGCAGAGAGTATATTCAGGTATTGGATATTGAATCAGGATGCATTGAACTGTAATGGAACATACTGAGTACGTGTAACTAAGAAATACTGGAAAAGTTATGCAGAATATTATGTAGAAAAGTTATGTAAATGTGAACTAAAATTACTTGGGCAGATCCCAGAAGCAGGCAAGACAGAGAGGTGTTCTCCTTTTATATAGGTAAACCACTCAAGGTGAGGGGGGAGAATAGCTATCATGAGGAAAAAAGCATGCTATGCTTACTCTGTTTCTTTGCTCTATTTCTTTATATATTTTATTTTGTTGCCTAGGTCTTCTTGCAACAGTGCCTTCTAATCCAAATGGAAATGGAAATGGTGGCCTAATGGGCTATTCACCAGGAGAAAGCATTTCTGGTTGTGGTAGCACAGGAGGTCAGTCAAATTCTTTCAAAACATAGAATTATTGGAATGGAACCACACAAACTTCTATAATGCCCTTGCCATTATGTATTGTAAGAAATAACTGTTTCCACAAGACAGTTTTGAGTGCAAGTCAGAAACATTTTCAACTTTACTCACTGTTTGATAGTATTTATATAGAGACATCTTCAAATTATTTTTTAATCTCAGATATGTAAGAAGTTTTAACCTGTTTTCTTCCCCTCTAAAAATTACTTATTAACATGTATCAAACAGTTTGATTTTCTCCTAGAAGTCTGTAAGCATCCTGACACTTATAATAAGGAGTGACTTGTGAACTTTCAAGTCAGAACTTTGAACTTTTAAAGTTTTCTGATGCTGGCATTAGATTGCTTACTGGAATTTATTGCTACTAAAAAAAAACAGGATTAAGACTGTTAAGTATTTTGTACACCTTGGACTCTTCATTGTACAGGGATACAGCAGAACTGAAAATTTACTTATATTTTCTCTAGGCTTTAGTCCAGGTTAGAAGCACACTGTGGAAGACTGAGCTTATTGTTCTTTGCCAGAACAGTTCCTCTTGAAGATTTAAAGTCTAGACTCCATAAAGCTGGGTGCTTGAACTTTTATAAGTTCAAAAGATTTAGAAGACAAGAAGGGTTTAGTTTTAAAAAATTAACATTATGTGCACTCTTTTCTCCTTCATATACACTGAAATGTAAACTTGTACTTACACTTTTCACATCAGAAAATGTATTCCTTTTGTAGCAGGTTACAGTGTATTCATCTGAATTTGGAAAGACAAAAGCATTAGAGCTTTGGACCCGTTTTGGGGTGGTTTGACAAAAAAAAAAAAAGGCCACAGTAAGAAGTCTACCTCTTGAAGAGAGGGGAACACCTACCCCCACCCCCATTTTAAATTCCAAAACTGGAATTGTATTTTCTGTTATGTTTAAGTCTTTTCCCTGCCTCTCCAGGAGCTCAGCTGGGAACTGGTGATGCTCATACAGTTGTTCAGTCATGTGCCCTGGGAGACTCTCATACAGGAGCAAGTGGAATTCAGCAGCAAGGTATTATGGCAGTGCCTGTCTGTAGAGGATCTCCAAATCCTTGCAACTGTGGAAAACCAGGCAAAACATCAAAATAGCATGGATAGATTTTGGGTGACAGTTGCTGTCTACAACGTGAACTGGCCTTGTTTCTGTTCTTGAAACATAAAAATTATTTCTTAGAGTGAACTTGCTTGTCTTGTCACTTTTATCTCTAAAGTGAGCAGTGTTTGTATGTTTTGAGTGGGAGGGATCACAAGTGTGACTAAACAAAAATTAATAAACGTTATCCTAGGCTCTTGTAAATGAAAGATACTGAAAAAAGAAGTCCACCTTGTGTATTGGATAGCAAAATTTGTATGTTATCTTTTCTTGGATTTCACTGCCACTCTTTCCATATACAGTCAATTTCCATAGTTTTGTGTAGATATTCTCATATTGTGGAAGCAAATTTTTGTTAATTTAACTATCCAGAATCTTAAGCTGTGGTTTGTGTTAGATCAAAGTTGCAATCAAATTTAACACAACTATTTTTCCTTGCAGTCGTAACAGAGGTGGTGTGTTTACTGATCACGAAGTACTGTAATCTGTGTTTTGTTTAAGCATCCAGAACGTAACCGGAACACCGCAACTGTTCAGAACAAGAACCTTGCAACTGCTTCTGCTAATGGCACTATTTATGCAGAACACTGAGTTTCAAGGTTGCCAGTAGATAGTTTACGTGAATCAGAAGAAAGTTTGCGTCTTTCTTTTAAGTTACACTTGCTTTTTTTATTTTTCCACAACTAAGATTCACTAGTATTGCAATAACAAAATAATAAAGAGGATGAGGAGACTTGGCAGAAGTAATGTTAAAATTTATTTAAACTTAATTAAAGTGTTTGGACATATAAACATTCTGCTTGTTTCAAATATAATGCACAAATATGTAGGCACTTAATGTTCACTCTGCATAAATAAGTGCGTATATATTTAACTGCTGTGGGCTGCCGTGAGGCTTATTTTTCTTTTGCATAAGAACTATTCTGCATTCAGGATGGTTTCTGGCAGGATTTTTCTTGAAGATGGAAAATAAATCAATTGGCTCCTTTTTGTTGTTGTAAAGAACATAATTGTACACTTGCTTGCAGTTCTAAATTTTACTTATTATAATAAATATCTACTGTATCTGAACAGGTTACTGTCAAGCAAGTAGTATCTTACACTATGCTCATGGAGACAATCAGCAATCACACTTATTGCAAGCAGGTAATTTAAACAACAACAAAAAAAACCCAAACCACTTTTCCTGACTATATAAAGGTGCAATAGAGCCTTAATGTAAATACTGATTTTAAATTATCAGGAAGAACGGCCCTTGGTACTGGCATTAGTGCAGGGAAACGCCCAAATCCAGAAGAAGATACTCAGAGCGTTGGACCAAAAGTCCAGCGACAGAGCACAAATTAAACTGGTAAGATCTGAGACACCTTAAAGTTATCAAATCTCTGTACAGATTTTGTGTCTGTGATAACATTCATGTCGCTGCAGTGCACAGGATCCTAAATTATTGCTGTGAATATTTCTGTTCCAGGTACTGTACAAATAAACTACAAAATCCTGGCTCTAAGGGAGTTTGTGAACTATGAAATAGGAAGTAGTTACAAAAATAGAGCCAGACTAAAGATTATCAGACACAGATCCAGGTGTTAATGAAAGGGAGATGGATAGACTGTGGTTTTACATGTTAGCAGAGCTGCTTAAGTAGCTTCAGTTACCCTCTGCTCCCACATCTCACCCTGAGCTGTGCCAGTAGTACTGTTTGTGTGAATGTATGGTGACCTGAATCAGAAGACTAAGGCAACTTACAAGGAAAAGCTCATGGCCTGAATTAGAGTTTTAGAAATACAAGTGGACTAAGCAGAACATGTTTTAGAGACAGACTGCCAAAAACCTGTAAAATGCTGGTGTAGTTACTGTATGTGAAGATGTAGGTACAAATACGATTTGAAGATGTGAGCATTTGTCATTGGTCTGTAATTGAAGTAGGGTACTCAGATTGCTGAAGTTTGTCAAGCTGTGGAGAAAAGGACTTGAGTTTGGAGAAGGAGGCATTGTAGATAGATACACATAAACAGGTGTGAAAATATAGAGAGAGAGGCAGTAAATTGGAGAAGGAGTTCACTATGTGTAAAATCATCAGCATAGAGAAGATAACTGGATTTTGTGTTTTGGATAATGTTACTTGGGAATAGGATAGAGAAAAGAGAAAGCCAAAGATGTTATACCCTCTCCCCCCTGAGCTTGATTTGAGAGGAACAAGGAAGATGACCTGAAAATAATTAATACTAAGTTAAGTTAAAGAATTATTGCTTAAGGGGAAAGCCAAAGAATGGAGGACTGTCTGAAGCAAGAGGAGACAGGATTTAAAACTAGGAGTGTGGCTGCGTGGATTAAAGGTTATTGAGATGTCATTCCATCCTTATCTTTTTTTAAAAAGTAAGTGGAGAGTTGGTCATTATGGAGTTTGAAGAAAGGTAAGACTAGCACAACAGGTGGGATAATAGCACATGGAGAAACTTTGTTGGAATTGGAAGATAGGGATTCTGCAGAGCAAGTATAGGAGATGCATTCAGCATCTCTAGAGGTAAAAAGGGAAATTCAGTCTACTTCATGTGGATTTGACAGCAAGATCTAATTTTGCTTGTTATGTGGCATCAGCATTTTGTCGGAAGTTACTGTGGTGCATTATGAACAATTGTGTTGCAGTGATTTGATTCAGTGCAGAACCACAGCATTGTTTCCATAATGCTGTCAGTTGAAAAAGTGAGGTGAGACCTTAGTGATTGATCCATCTGCTGTTTTCTCACATACTGGAAGCCCTGTAAACTGTGCTTCTATGTTCTTAAGCTGATTTCTGGTTCTTGGATGGGCCTGAATAGAATGTAATTCCAAGAGAGTCTGTGTTTCAATAGCTGTCTAATCCTTAGTGTGTGTAGATTCATTCAGCATCCATGTTTTGTATTGCAGAATTCCTTAGGTGCTCGTGTCTGTGTAGAAGAAGTACCCGCAGAGCAAACGTCTGGTTCCTGTCTAAGCTCTTTTTCAATTGAGAGACAGGTTGGAGGGGTTTCCAGTTGGCAGAGAAGGCTGATTTTGCTAGGGGTGCTCAAAGCATGCTGCTAAAGCATTATAATCAATACAAAAATCAGCAAGATCACACTCAAAAACACTGCTGGCAAAAGGACATGCACTTCTAATAGCACTAAAGTACAGAGGCTTGTGTTGGGTTTCTCTTCTTTTTTTTTTTTTTTTTCTCTTCCCCCCCCCCTTTAGCCTCTAGGGAGTGAGAAATAAGAATGCTCAGTATTTGAGCTTATGCAAATGGAGGGACAGTGCTTTCTGCACTGAGAAGGGGGGAAAGAATATTGGTCCCTTGAATTACTTCTGCCTTCTTCAAAGACTCACATTAAACTGCTTAAGAATATTTTCTTTCTTTTTTCTTGCAGCTTTATTGGAAAAGAAGTTTACCACTCAAAGAACACACGGGACAAAATTCCTGCTACTCTGTATTGGAACTAAAGTGTTGTGAGAGTTCATGTTCTAAAATGACATACTTTTTCATAAATTATTTTCAATTGTTCTCAGTTGATGTAAACAAGTCCAATTTTTGGAATGCATTATTTCTAACTGGCATTTCTATGGTTTTTAACTTTTTAATGACTCTTTCACAAAGGGCAAATTGAGTTTTGTATATAAAGTATTTGGTGAAGAATTTGCTAACTTATTGTAAATATAAATATTCATGATTAGCGATAGACCCATCAATATATTTTTGATAATCTTTCATGTATATGGTAGTAGGAAAAGCTGTAGTGCTGTTCTGTAAAACGGATGAACATAGAAAGTTTTGAAATTTTTAAATTGTTATTATTTTTAGATTCCATACTTGAGCTCTGTATGATCGACTTCATATTTTCCCAATGTAAGTGCTTAGGACTGTGTTTAATCAAATACAGTAGAGTTGTAACATGATTTAATCACATCTGTGTATAAAACATATGCCAATTTTAGTCGAGTTGTACAATTCTCATGTATATGTCCAGTCCTTGTATTTCTCAGTTGCCTTGTTCAGTAATGACATACCTTGTTAATAAAAGAAAATTGTATATATAGATACATATGTTTGTCTTTTGTGTATTCTTATTGCTCCAGTACATATTTCCAAACAAAACTGTTTCAGGAAAAAATTACTGTTTCAGGAAAAAAGGAGGGAAATACACTTTTTAGATGTAATTCAGAAGTGATAAACAGTGAACTATGCTATCTTTCACTTCAAGTTTCATGATACTGAAGCAAAACACTATTCAAATTATCCAGGCCTTCTTCTTGAAACTGCATGCATGTATGTTTTCTGACCATTAAATGTTTTTCACCAATGTATTTATTAAGTGTTTCTCCAAAATCCATGTGTTTGGTTTTGGGGTTTTTTTTTCCCTGCTATAATTATAATTTGCTTGATAGCCAGGAAGTCTTTCCTGCACTGCAGCTAATTTGCTGCTCTTCGAGGATGTTAATTTCAGATTTGCTGAATTCTCAGTCAATACTGTCTCGATTGTTAAGAAAAGTTATATCTAAATGTTTTTTCAGACCATTAACACCTCTGAAGACCCAGTATGAATTGCTACATTTTGCATATAACTAGGTCAGTTACCTACTTGAGTGGGTGCACAGATTACAATCTTAGAATACCCTGAGTTAGAAGGGACCTAGAAGGATCACTGAGTTCAACTCCCACCCCTGCACAGGACAGCCCCAAGAGTCTCACCATGAGCCTGAGAATGTTGTCCAAACACTTGAACTCTGACCTGTTCCAGTGCCCAACCACCTTCTGGGGGAAGAACCATTTCCTAATATCCCACTTGAAACTCCCCTAACACAATTTCATGCCATTCCCTCGGGTCCTGTCCCTGGTCACCGGATAGATTGGTGCCTGTCCTTCTTACCCTCTTGAGGAAGCTGTAGGCAGCTATCAGGTCTTCCCTCAGTCTCCTCCAGGCTGAACACACCAAGTGACCTCAGCTGCTTCTTGTATGGCTTCCCCTCAACCCTTCACCATCTTTATGGACCTCCTTTGGATGCTCTCCAACAGCTTTAGATGCTTTTTATATTGTGGTGCCCAAAACTGCCACAATATTCAAGGTGAGGCCACCCCAGCGCAGAGCAGAGCTGGACAATCCCCTCCCTTAACCGGCTGGTGATGCTTTGCCTGATGCCCCCCAGGACACGGTTGGCCCTCCTGGCTGCCAGGACACTGCTGACTCATGTTCAACTTGCCATCAAATAGGACCCCCAGGTACCTTTCTGTGGCACTGCTTTCCAGCATCTCATTCCCCAGTCTGTCTGTACATCTGGGGTTGCCCCATCCCAGGTGCAGAACCCAGCACTTGCCTTTCTTAAAATTAATATGGTTGGTATTAATTAATTTGTGTTAATTATTAATTCTAAAGTGGAAGGAGTTAACTGTCTTCTTCTTAGTGTCGCATTGGTTACTTCCAGACATGGGGCACTTCCCTGTGTCCATTTAAAATTCAGATTAGATTTGTGGTTTGACAACATACGCAGCAGGGCACTTGCATCAGAATAAATTGCCATGGTACTAGATTTTTAGATTATAATTATTAATATAAATATCTCTATGTACTGCTTTGTATACACTAGCAAACTTAAAAGTACTAATAAGAAAATACAGGCTTACTGTCTTGAGGCAGAGAATCTTTGATCGATATTGAAGAAGAAAAAATGGTGAGAATTGAGAAGCAGATGCTAAGTATTTTTCACAGATCAGTCCAAGTAGAATGGGGGGTTTTTCTAGGGACATATGTAATCAGTAGAATATACAATTCTTTTGTTCTTTTAAGTAGTCTGAAAAAGAAAAAAAGTACTATAGGAAGTATTTTATTCTGTCAAGATCATATTGAATTTTTCTTCTGACTTATATTAAAAAGAAATCATACCATCTAAATGTAATATTCCACCTAGGTTTTCTGAATGAATAAGCTATGAAACTCCCACAGAGAAACTTCATCAAGGTAAAAACCTACACCTAAATATTACTTTCCCTTCAACCAGTCTGGAAGTTCAATAGGCGAAAGAAGAAATTTCCCGAGGATTTTATTTCTATGGTAAAT